TTTTTGCCCAGCGGCGGGGTGAGACCCTTAAGGCCCATATCGCACGGCGTTTGTTTTTCACGAACAACTGTTTCTGACAATTTTTTTGCCTGGTTTATTATTGAAAGAGAGACGTGCGACTTTTTTCTTCCTCTCCAAAAAAAATTGCAAGTTGTTTAATTGCTTGTTTGTAATGGGGAACCAGTTTCCCCATGTGTTAATCTCAAAGCGGTCTATGAATGTTGTGTCAAATCAGAAAAATTGTTCCAAACAGTTGTTCTTCCGAAACAAAACTACGTATGATAGTAGCCTAAGAAATAGTTTAGATATTAAAGTGCCACTAATAGTAAATCTACTTATTAAATAATCAAAATAGCTAATAGGTCATCGCAAGTTTTCGCTTCTCCTGTTTTTCCAGTCAACGATTTTGGACTTGAATTTCACGATACATTCTTCACCTTGCTTCCCTGGATGATGTACAGTTCTTCTTGCTTCCATATTTACGGACTTTCATCACTTTTCCTTTATCCCAGTTTCCTGATTAAACCGGGTCCAGAAAGACGCTGACGGGTTTTTACATCTCTTCCGGTATGGTTCCCTCTTCGAAATCCTCGATTCCTTGAACATCTGAAGAACCATTCCTTATCCTGGCTCGTGTTTTCCTGGAGCAGTGACGACGAAGTGGAACGTAAGAATTTTATTTTGTTTTATATTGCACTAGATTATTTGGAAAGTCAATAATCATTAGTTTGTAGAGGCGTTAGGTTATTTTGAGTCAGGAAACATGAAACATGCGCAACGCCTTCGCTGGAAACGAACCACCGACCTCTTGAATACGCGCCCAGTGGGCAGACCATTACACCACGAAGGTATGCTAAGGAGACAGGAGAAATACCTTATAAGTTAAGTAAATTAACTCCTACGTAAGTGTAAAAATACAGATTACTGATTAAAATGGATCAGTTTAAAACTTAGTTTTACCTGTTATCTCTAAGAATTATTGATTCCGCAGTTATTTTATTAATTCTAAACAATTCTAGCTAAGTGCAATAGTTGAGGAATTTAGATTAACTTACTAGTTAAGGGGTTTCTTAAGATTGTTGGTTTGAAATAACAGTATTTTTGTTAAATTGTTAAATATGTGCAATGAAGTAAATGAAATTTAGGTTCTAAGCTGATTGAAGGAAAAATTAAAGAAGGGAAAATAAAATCTATGTAATTTTCTGTAACTGACTTTTTCTGTCTCCTTCCGCTTCGATATTTAGCTGTTTAAAAGCAGTAAGGAAGGGGTTGTTGAAGAATGTATTAGTGTAATATTAAGATTTTGTATTTTCATAATAATCCGGTTCTTGTTAAGCTCAATAGTATTATTGAAACATTGTTTTCTTAAGAATGTATTAGTGCAATGTTAAGATTTAGTGCTTCATAATCATCCGGTTATTTGATCAGTGTAATAGTATTACTGAAACATTGTTTTCTTATGAATGTATTAGTATGTGATAATGATTGGCAACTCAGTTCTGTTTTTAAGGTTTTAAGAATTGGGTATTAATTCTCCCTGGAGACTTAGTTATACTATATTTGTTATGACTTATACCTAACCTGCCTAAGTTGAAAAATAAAATCCTAAAGTTATCATGAATTTAAAAATATTTGTTTTATTTACATATTAGTTTTGATTTTATGCTTTGTACATGATATGCACCAGTCATCTTCACGCAGTGGCTAATCGCACCGACGGTGCGAATAACTAAAAAGGGTATTCACTCCACCTACTCTCGCACATGGGCACAATCAGCCCATGTACCAGCATTTTACGCCGATTTCCGTAAGGCAGGCGGTAGAGAGAGAGAAGATTGTTAACCCTAACTCAGCATTAAAAGGGTTGTTAATAGTTCATCAGCAAGGGAATTATTTGCAAGTAATAATTATCAATTACAAAGACGAGGTCAATCTGTATACATGATAATGTTCAGGAAATGATTAGATAAAATAGGGATTTAATGATGGTTCTAATTGCAAGCGAGGACGTGTAATTAGTTAAAAAAATCTTTAATGTATTGACAAAAAGGCTACAGAAATTACTTAAATTCTTTTATTTAACAGAGGAATTTTTATGCAAACTTAGACCCTAGTCTTATAGCATAGGACTATCAGAATTTATTATTCAATAAGAAAACTTACTGAATATTACAATATTCTTATGTATTCATCACTTTTTCAGTATCCACACATGTTTGAAGGTTCAAATGCCATATTTCAAAATCAAAGTTATTTATGAAATAAAATCTGATAAACCATTTCTGTGTGCAGATTTTTAAATCTAAATCTCTCACATTAAATTATTTCTGTCTTTTAAATTACATCCCATTATTTATTTAAATTTCATTTATTAATGTGTTTGTACTAATATTTCAAAGTTCTTTGAAATACTCTTTGTGTACGGAAAATGCCAAGTATTTCCATAAAAGAAATAAACAGGCATACAAAATTGTTACTAACCAGTATTATATGATTAATTATTCATTTAATAGTTGATTTAATCGTATTTAACTTATTCCATGTCTAAATTTTCTACTCAGAAATCCTCGGTTTAATTTTTAGTATCATTTCTCAAAGGAAAATTTTCAAAGGGGAATGAATTAAAGTCTTGATTGTGCAAAACATATCTTTTAAGCTAAATGTATTATTCTAAGAAGTACCAAAAATGTAAACAAGGTTTTGTCCCCCCCCCAAAAAAAATCAGTCATTTAAACTAATCCAAGAAAACAATAATCATTGCGAACATAAAAATCTGCCCTTTTCTATATATACTTTAATAAAAGGAAATGTGTTCCTTCTTTTTATATATCTAAGAAAAGGAACTTTCTAATCTTTTGAAAGTCACCAACGCTTAAAATATGATAAACTACGCCACGGTAGTAACCCGCTTTCAAAGAAAAAAAGATTCACTACAGCACTTAAGCAGTTCGCATACGTAGAATTCGTTCTTTTGATTGGGTTCGAATGACGGAGCCGACAACTCAATGCGCATGAGTGGTTAATGTTGGTGCGAATAGCTCAAGCCAAAGAATCTCTAAGGGTCTCCTTAGAGAATCTTTGGCTCAAGCGGCTAATCGCTCCGCTGCTGCGAATAGCATAGACCTCATCTTGAGGAGGATTGTCGGGTACTTACATGATTAAAGGTTACACAACGCAATGATAATATATTACATGATTGAATTTTGGCTAATTTAACTTGTTTCGTGTCTTCCTAAAAGCGCCACAAAACATTTCCTAAGAGATATTTGTTCAATATCATAATATCTCACAGTAGTTAAACTACTAAAACGTTTTACAGAACACAATTCAAAGCAGACATTTGATTTCCCCAGTTCACCGGTTACTAATTCTTTAAAAACATTCCAAAGAAGTTACTAGAACTTCCAGCTCTTTGACGGAAATATATGTCGATCGTTGCATTTTTCTATCTCTTTCCTGTTTGTTAAAACGAATATACATAATTCGAAAACGTAAAATTCCCCGAGACAATCAGAAGATGGGAATATTGTTAGAACTAAGCCTCAGTAGTAATTTAGTTTCATATTTTGATGTCAGAGTGGCAACCGTCTGATCTCGTTTGTAGTTTGTTGTCGTTCTAAGAATTTAGTTTTGTTTACATATGCTTTGAGCGGTTTAAAGGCAACTGTGTTTGTGACTTTGTCTGTCTGCTTGTTTTTCATATCACGAAAGCTGGAGGCAGTGTCTAAATATAGCTCCGAAATTTTTTAAATAACTGTTTCAGGAAATATTTTCAACTCTCTAAAAAAGTTTAATGCACCTTTCCTATGCAATGTCTCATTCATCAAATTGAAAAAGGAAACTTCGCTTCATCGAAACTTCAGGTGTTTTGTTAGCTGTTTACTATCAACACGAGAAATCCAAAAGAGGCCCTGACATGAAACATTCAGATAAGTAACATTCTGTTCTCTATACAATATATGTTTCTCTATCACTAGAGTGCAATTAAATTTTTTTATTTATTATTTTTCATAAGATTCTAGCATTATACAATAGTTAGTAATAGTAGTAGCAAGTCATGTGGTTCTTTTCTTCGTAACTATTCCGTACAGACGCCACATTCCTTATCAGTAGTCCGTTCTTATCAGCAATTCACACCCTTCGGAGGCCCCCCTCTTCGTGCTTAGGAATTTCTTGAGAGGGAAAAAATGGGGATCTCTTGACCAACGATGAGTATAGATTGTGATTTTTGTAACTAAGATCCTCGACTTTTTTTTTTTTTTAGGTCTCAAACTTAGAATTATGAGCAAATATAAATACAGTGTGACGGAATTTGTTAAAGTTGTACTATAATAAATTACAATGGTTAAATTAATAAATTAATTTTATATTTAACTAATATTTAAGAAAAATAAACTGTGTAATTTATTTTTGCTTTAAATGCTCTCACACTGTGTATGGATTTATGATTTTGTCAATTACTGTTTTTATGAAAATATACATGAATTTTTTGGGAACGGTAATATTTAATGTTACTTTAGTTAAAATATTATGTACATCTCTGTGATGATATATGTCTTTTCTTGTTAGGTCTCAAGATAACGGCATACACATTACCATGTAGGAATTCATTCATTCATTCATTTATTATTTTTTTTTAACTTAGCTAAAGTTTGCTTCTTAAAGACACGAATTTTTGCAGATGAACTCCTTAACTACACTCATGGACACAATCGTATTTTAGGGTATTTTCTACTTCTTTTCCTTTTCTTTCTATAGGCCCTTTTTTTTTTCCCCTCTATTATTTTTGGGCCATTTAATTTAAATTTTATTTTGTCCCATCTTTTCTTTCTGGCCTTTTGAACTCGTACAAAATGTACGAAGTTCCTTTTTACTGTCCTCAAATACGAAATTGCCCCTCTTTCTATATACCTTTCCTTCGCACCTATGCTTGATTTTTCGCCCATCGGTGCAGAAAGACTTAGCGGGTGCAAAACAAGACATCTGTCTACTTTGTCTGTCTGTCTGTCTGTCTGTTAAGAATTTAAAAAATAAACGTGAGGCTTTGTAATATTGGATGTAAAGCTGTTTCATTTTATGTTTATTTGGAAAAATCGGAACGGTTAGTTCTTGCAAATCTGGAACATAACTAGCTGTGCGCGGCATACATCGGGAACATTAAAAAAGAACGTCATGTGTGAGGTACTGAATCAGTTATTCAGGTGAGACTTCTTTTTAAACAAGCATATAATTTTTCTTACAAAAGAGAAGTGTGTAAAAAAATGTTTACGGAACAGTATAGCTTAAACAACAATACGCTTATTCATGCAGGAGAGAAACCTTATGTGTGTGAAGTATGTAAGAAGTCATTTACTCAAAAGTGTAATTTAAATAAGCATTTGCTTATACACACAGGAGAGAAACCTTATGCATGTGAAGTATGTAAGAAGTCATTTACTCAAAAGTGTAGTTTAAACAAACATATGCTTATTCATGGAGGAGAGAAACTGCATGTGATGTATGTAAAAAGGCATTTAGACATAAGCATAGTTTAAGCAAGCATACGTTAATTCACACAGGAGAGAAACCTTATATGTGTGAAATATGCAAGAAGTCATATACTCAAAAGTGTAGTTTAAATATGCATCTGCTTAGTCACACCGGAGAAAAACCTTTTGAGTGTGAAGTATGTAAGAAGTCATTTAGTCAAAAGTGTAGTTTAAACAAGCATATGCTTATTCATGCAGGTGAGAAACCTTACGTGTGCGAAGTATGTAAGAAGTCATTTATTTATGAATGGAATTTCAAGCAGCATATTCATACTCACACAGGAGAGAAACCTTATATGTGTGAAGTATGTAAAAAGTCATTTACTCGTAAGAGTAGTGTAAATGAGCATATGCTTTTACACTTAACCTCCTGACTACTCAAATTGTTTTAATAAAATTACTTCAAAAATTGCATATTTTTTATGTCATAGTTGAAATCTGCATAGCAGTTTGCAAACTTTATGCAAATATTAGAAATTTTGGGACAGTCAATCCCATCTGTTGGAACAAATGTGTAATTTAAAGTCTGAACACTGTACAAAATATATAACTGATAATTAAACACTGAAATGATATAACTGATGATTAAACACTGAAACAGTGTGAAAGACTTTTATAGACGTAAAATGAAAGCCCGCCTTTATTGCATGATGAGCAAATTTTGCTATATTTCTTTTGCCCATAGAAATCGTGGGATAAGCTGTCAAAGAGTTAAGAGAAACTATATACGTGTGAAATATGTAAGAAGTTATTTAGTCAAAAAGATAGTTTCAAGTAATTTAGGCTTATATGTGGAACAGAAGTCTCATCTGTGTCACCTATCTAACAAGTAATTTAGAGGAAAGACTATTTTAAACAAACATAGTCATACTCATGCATCAGAGAAACCTTTCGTATAAGGTATGTAAAAACATATTTATTCTAAAGGGTGATTTAAGTATCTGTATCTATATAAAGGAGAGATGTCTCATGAGTTGTATATGCAGTAAGTCATATGGGTGGAAGAAATTGTAGAAACATGTTTTTCTATACTGAAGGGAGGTTTGTTTTGAGGAGATGTTATATTAGTAGCAGTGCTCAGTTATTTAAGCAGTAAGAAAATGTCCATGCAGCAAAGAAGCCTCATTATGTGAAGTCAAGGTTGGTTCATTCGTACAAAGGGCAGAGTTTAGGGTTGGTATCATTCAGATGGGATTTAGAGATTTCAAAGGTGCTGAGTGGCAGAATTTAGGTTTTGCAGATATTGTACTGAGTGGTATGAAGCTAACATCTGACCCTGTGTATAAATTGTTATTTAATCAGTAGAATTAATAAACTATTTATTTGTGTTCGCAAGAGATAAACTTCGTAAATGCAAAATAAATCTTGAGTCATTTTAAGGAAATACTGATTTGAAGCAACATTTGCTAGCAAATACGTTTTTCCCCCCTTTATAGCAGCTGTATGCAAATAGATTTCAGGTATTTTGATGTGTACATGGACACTGAGTTTGTGTAAATGTTTGACTTCTTGTTTTGGTTTTGTGTAACAGGTGGAAAGATCGGCACAATCTTGAAATTAGTGTCGAATCCTTCATGCATAATTTTTTATCCATCAGTCTCGGCATCAAAAAGGAAATGCTTTGCCAAGGGGGTAGCGTAGAGTAAATTTTAACCCATATAGATAGATTTCAGTATGTTTTTGCTTACTCATAACTGTTCAATCTTTCTACCAAAATGCATTTTGAGGATCATATGCTTGTTACCACTTTAAAGTGTTGAAGTGTATAATGAAATCCTTAAGCATGGCTGAATGTTTTAGCTATATGTGTAGTGTAACTTATGTGTACTTTGGTTAAATTTGGCTCTGTCAGTGTATAATGTAGATAGCAAACATAGCTTTTTGTTTAATGATGGAAGTATGAAGGATTGTGTATGTAATTAATGAAATAGTATATTAGGTACTTTCATTTTTAGTAAAAATATCCTGAAGACCATAACTACCCAGCTGCAGTGCATAACGTCGCAAAAGGGTTGCCTCATGCTACATTGAGAAAGATAAATAAGATCTCAAATATTTTCAGTGAAATCTTGGACATACTAAATAGAGCAACTCCATGTATATAAAGTATGTTCAAGAATGAATCATCTGGGAAACATTTTGATGTAATTAAGAAATCTATATGTATTAGATATTTATACAAAACTATTCTGATTTTTTTTTTTTTTTTTGAATTTATGGAATAAATCTTATGAATGTCCTCTTTTTTAAATTATAAATGCTTTTCTGTAAATTATTTACTGTCTAAAGACTGAAACAGATAAAAATATTGAAATCATCCAGATATTTAATGAAAGAGCTAATATTAATATAAATGTTTCAAGTTATGTACAGTATAAAGTCTGAGATCCGGACGTCCTATATTCGGAATGATCTAAAATTCGCACCTCAAAGCCACTACTAACTTTTTGTGGGGGTTATGTGTGCTTTACGCATGCACATTTCATCCCCCCCCCACATATAATAAAACGTGGAGAGTCTCGATTCTCAATTTCACTTTGGCACTAAATAAAATACTTCGTTATTGAACAAACAATCATTTTAGCATAAATTTGTATAATCAGTAATCTGACTTCATAGCTGCGTGTCTGCTTAGCTTACTACAGTCAAAAGTCGTTAATCCGGACTCGTCAGGACTTCGGCAATTCCGGATTATAGATCAGTCTAAATCTGGTAAGATGGCATGCCGAAATTATAAATTTAAAAATATAAAACCGTTATTAATGAAATAAAAAGCAATTATGATCTAAAGGGTATCAAAATTTACAAAAAAAAAATAGCTTAACATTTATTTGTTTACTTTATTAAACATTTCTTTCAATGCAGTGCATGCGTAAAGCATACATTATGCATAGTCGAAATTAGAAAATTGCAACCAGAAAACTATTTGATTTGTTCGTGATATTTATAATGATTTTATATAACGAGGAATTTGATTTAAATCATATCAAAGACGGAGTACATCGAGATGAAATACTACATTTAGTAAGGAATTATAAGCCAAATAAAATAAAAACATCTGCCCTGAAGATAAGGATAGTGCTGACAGATCAACTTCCAATTTCATTGCGCGCCGCGGCGTTTCCCCCCCCCCCCCCCGCAGAGCAGCGTGAAATTGATAAACAGATTTCGGAATGGTTAGATAAACAAAGGATATGCCTTTATCCATTTTTTGCAGCAATTCCACTTTTTGTTTAATGGACTTCGAAACATACTTTCGCTTTGTAGATCCTTTACATATTAGTAAATATATCGGAAATTCTATTTGACATAATCGAAAGTTCAAGCTTACTTTTATAAAATTGCTCTAACAGTCTGCAAAAAATATTAAACCGGATCCAATTTGAGGATTAAAGAACAACGCAATCTGCAACATTAACTGAATTAGATAATTTTAGCTGAGCTTATACCGTCTGTTATACATTAAACGCGCTTTCGTAAATGTATTATGCGCATGCGCACACACATACTTGCAGCCGTAAAGGTCTTGCGCGCATGTGTCAACATGATGCATGCGCAGAAAGTTTGTAGCTTTGAGGTCCGGATTATGGGTGTCCGAATTAACGATTTTTGACTGTATTTACTTTACAAACATACTACTGTAAGTAATAAGATCCACAATATTTTACAAAAAATTCTACTCATAGGATTTCAGTTTTCAAATGCCCACTTTGATATATTTTGGCACATACATCATTCTGTAAGAAACTGCTTGCCATCTGTCATTTATAATAGAAAGGATCAAAAAGAAAGTTAAATCTCATCCTCTCCTTATAAAAAATAAATGATTAAAAATAAAGGTCTTTCCATTTTGTTACAATACACAAAAAACAATATTTTTTAGAAAAGGTTGATATTTCCAGCAAGAAAACTTGCATGCATCAGGAAGTAATTTTGTCTAGTAAAATTTTTCTAAATAAAAAAGTGCATCTATTTATTTTAGTGAAACAAAATTATGTATTTGTTTGCACACTTTACCATCTTTTTATTAACAATATTTTCCTTGAAAACATAAACAATGTTATAACAGCTAAGGCTTACACTCATAATTTAGCCTTATCCACACATATGTCTTTCCACATGAAATTATTACATATTGTCATGTAAAAAAAAATTGATTTAAAATTGCATCTTTCTCGGGAAAATCCAGAATAACTTCTACAATTGGTGCAGTACTGGTAGAAAAGTAATGTGATGTGTACTATTATAGGCGATGTCCTGTCTGGTATCCGAGTAGAAAAGTAAACTGATGTGTGGTTTTACTAGCAGTGTATTACTAGTTCCTGACTGCTAACTGGGTAAATCAAATAATGTTTTATTTTTTAATTTTGTTCTTTACTATCATTAAAACATATCTATGTATTCAATAAATACAGCACTTTCTGATTATCTGTCCAAAGCTGAAAAGAATTCACCAGGCAGCAGTCTGTGATTCCAAGCCAGACTACACATAATAAAGGGCAAAGAGATATTTATGTAACTACCCAAAGTATATAGATGCATGCAGAACATAAGTGTGTGTTTTGGATTTTTAACTTAAAATGTCCTTTTTTTTCATCAGTACTGCTTTTGATTAGTGTTTGATGAGTCAGCAAATTTTTTGTCTTCTAGGCAATTTAAAAAACACTGTGAAGTAACTGAGCTGATGGACTTCAGAAATACGATATTTTGCCTGATAGCAGAGAGTGCAAAAATTCATGTTCCATGAAGTGGTATTTTGTAAATGATCAGATTTGTATGCAGATGCTGCAACTTGTTCCATTCTGATTTTTCTTTAAATGAAAACAGATTGCTACGGATGTGAGAAAACAACAGCATTTGCAGTACAAGTTCATTCAATTTTCAGATTTTTTTAAATGAAAATATATAATAATATATGGGGTAATAACAAAGTGTGCTAAGCTAAGTTATGCACAATACCAGTTTCTGCATTTGTCTGCAGTGTTTTGAAGCTGAAGCATGTCACTGTGTGCATGGGCAGAAGAGTAGAAAAAAAATGCATGTCTGTTTATTATAGATGCTTCTTGTATTTTTAATTCTGTTAATTGATTGCTGTTTTATATAATTTTTACTACATCACCATTTTTTAAAATGGCTGTTGGCTTTTTCATTTTAGGTTAGGGAAAAATTGTCACCAAAAATTACTGAATTTTTGAAAATGTGGCACAAAATTAGAAACTGCCACAAATATTCACACATCCAAATCAAATGGAAATATTTTTAGCACCTTTAAAACTACATTTGTTCAGTTTTTTTTTTTTTTTTTCAATTTTCGAATGAAATTCTCATCATAGCTAAATAAATTAAATTAGGAATTTGAGTAACTGAAAGTTTATCTTAGATGTTTATACAGTCCTCTAGGATTGGAAATAATAATAATTTATTTTTTCATGTTACTTGAAAAAACCAGTAATTGAATATTGTTTTCATGTTCTCAGAATCGATTAAATGGGGATATTTTAAAGAAGTATTATCTTGGTAGATAAATATACTATTATGCACTCCAATATTCCCTCTTTAGTAATTTTATCAAACATTATTCAAATTATTTCATTTCTGAGAAATGGAGTTGCCTTAACAACATAACGAATGAAAAATATTCATAAATAAATCGCCAGTAACTATTGCAATACAGTAGAATTCCAGAAATCCACAAAGCTTGGGACCAGACGTTGTGCGGATTTTAGGACAGAAAAGATAAAGCATGATATTCGGACTAAAAGTGCAAAATGAATGAGGCATATTAGATACATTTAGTTAAATTATTATATACATTGTTGCAATAATTTATTATATGCATTAAATTATTATTACATATATAAATTGATTATATTATTCATTGTACACATATGTACACAGCATCGAGATTTGCCAATTTCGCCTCATGCAAAGATTTCTGGTTTCGGATTCCGGTGTTAGAATCACTGTTGCTGTAAAATTTCAACAGCTTTTCTTTATTTTTCCGTATATCATACACAATCGTGTCGCAATTCCATACCATTCTGCTATAAATCGAGGAGTAGCACTTGCTTCCATCTTTTCCAGAATTTGCACTTTTTGCGTTACCGTCAATGCAATGTTTACGCTTTTCAACGTTGCAAGCAGTAAAATCACGAGTGCGTTTCTTATCTGTAATTGTATTAAAAAGGGCTGATATTAAAAATATTTTTAATTTATCCACAAAATATCCGGAAAAAAAAAGGCAGCACTAAACAATCTCGTGAAATGAAATAACAAAGCTCAGAAAATACAACAACGTGAATCGTAAACTTAAACAAAGAGTTGAGCGAATTGTCTGCTTTTTTACCTCGATGCAGATTAGAGGAAAAATTACTTATTTATTTTATCTTATTTTTTTAAACTTTTTAATATCAATAATTTGGTATTTCCGTTTTGACTGATTATTATTCGGTAATTATGACGTCATTTATTTGGTAAGTATTTTTTTCTTCGATATTTCGTACTCGATGTTGCGGTTTCCGGAACCTATAAACTGAATGTTTAGATTCTGAGAGGCAGCGCGGATTTTAGGTATTTGACTGTATTATTAATTTAAAAGAAACTTATATTCCAATAATATTAATAATCCAATAGTGTATTGACTTACCTATATCTTTAAATCTACCTGTCTGTATCCTGACTGTTGCTCCTTTCATTGTTATCCTCTACTACTAAGTCTCAAATTATATAATTCAGCAGCCAGTGTTGTCTGTTAAAGCTTGCTTGTCTTCGCCATCATCTTCATCACTCTCCAGAGTCTTCCCAGAGGCAATGATCTTCAGAACCATCAAGAGCATCAGTTATCCCTCTTCACTGTTATTGCTTCTTCAGTTAGAGACCATCTACCAAGAATCCACAAGCAAATCAATTAAGAAGATGAAAACAAATACTATGTGAATTCATTTTAAAATTTAAGGGACTGGCTTTCTGGATGTCTCGAAAAAAATTATGTAGATAATTAATTGAAATATTTATGTATCTACATGTAAGTTACAGATTTTCTGAGCATAGGCTAATTTAAAAGTTATTCAAGGCAGAAAAATATGCAAATGTGGTAATATAACTAATACTAACACAATTGACAACAATAATGGACAAACTGATATGAAAAGTCACTTTTGATTTGATTTATACCTAAGCATATTGAGTTTATTTTAATTTAAATTAAGTACAATATACCAATTATTATAGTACATAACCTTGTATTTTACTTTATCAGTACATTATACTCCAAAAATTTATTAGTTTAATTATTAGCTAGAATTTTTATATGCATATTATATTAAGCATGTAATACATTAATTTTTTTTTTTTTTTTTTTTTTTTTTTTTTTTTTTCCTCTAGCACTTATCTGGAGGGAATGGTTAAACTACCCTTAAACTGTTCTACAGACTTGTTTGCGTTAGCAAAATTCAGAACCTGAGAAATACACATGAATGTGATGGCTCTGTTAATGTGAGCTGAAGAACTGATTTTGAATGGGAATTTAACCACACTGATATAAACATGGAAAATTAAAAGCTTTGACCACATGCAACATAAAAGTTTTGCCCAGTCAGAGACTTGCAAGGTATCAGGAGGGATTTTGTTGATTATGCAGAGCAATATGGCACAAGACTCGGTGTAAGATTTAAAATGTTAAGAAAAGTCCACCAGTATCCAGATTTATAGGATGAAAAATCAAAAGGGTGTTTACATATCAACACAATCAATCACCTTGGCACAATATGGCAATTTTACTGGTGTTAAAGGTGAAAGTTAGATATTGGGTGTACTATTGTTGGTTTTCACAAATGTTCTGAAAAAGGTTCCTACATTATCAGTATGCATCAGCAATTTAAAATAAAATTTTTATTTGTTAAATAAGGATTACTTAAACCATTAAAAGAAAACACATTCATCTCACGAATTTTTCTGTACTTCCCCCCCCCCATTCTGTTCTTTCCAAATGCACAACAATCTTTTTCTCTCTGAAAACCACCAGAGATTAGGCATTCCATGAACCTTGACAACAGTGGCTATTTACCAAAGGCATCTGCTCGTCATTCCCTTTAGAAATTTTACGGCTAAATTTTGTACTGCAGTTTCTCCCATTGTTGATAGATCATACAAGCAGGTATTTTAAAATCAGTTTTAAGGCAAAGGGCATCATGATTTGTTCATAAAAATCATTGGAACTTCGAATATGAGGAATGACAATGCATACAGAAAGGATTATATTGCTTGACTGAAGGATCGTTATGACATTTTTGCCTGAAGAACCATAATGCACATGTTTGCTAGAGTTTGGAACACTTTGAAATACATATTATTATTAATGTGGTTGTGATAATATATAAGTGTAATAAAAAGATTCACAGAATAAAAGAGTATTCATTATTCTTGCTATTTGTAATTTCTTGCAAAGTTAAAAAATGATGATATGTAAATTTTGCCTTGCAGTATCAGTGATGATTGTATGTTAAGATATAAATTTGCTAGGTCATAATTAATGGCATGTGTAATAGATATTATTATTTAAATACTTATAAAAACAACCTGAAGATGTAATATATGAAATTAATTACCTAATATAATTTGATTTTCAATTAAAATATTTTTACAAATCTAAAAAACGTATATTGAGATGTAATTAAATAGAAATCTAGCAATTTTAAAATGATATTGATTAGTCTTTTTAAAATACTGTAGTTCAACTTTTATTTATTTTGTAGTCTTCAGAATCATCAAGAGCATTATTTATCCTTTTTTTCTTAAAGCCCTGTTATTGCTTCTTCAATTAGAGACCATCTACCCAGAATCCACAAGAAAATCAATTAGGAAGATGAAAACAACTGTTTTGTGGCTGAATTCATTTTAAAATTTGGAGGACTTGGCTTCCTGAATGCCTCGAAGAAAATTATGTAGCTAATTAAATTTTTTTAGTATCTATGTAAAAATTCTGTAGATACATAAAAAAAAATTTCGGATCCTTATGCTAATTCGAAAGTTACATAAGCTGAAAAAATATGCAAGTAAATATGGTAATGTAACTAACAGTAACAGAATTTGACAACAATAATAAACATACTGATATGGAAAGACATTTTTCTTTTGGTTTGCTTTATACATAAACATATTCAGTTTATTGTAATTTAAATTAGACTCAATGTACAAATTGTTATAATACCTAACCTTGTATTTTAATACTCTAAAAATTTATTAGTATAATTATTAACTAGAATTTTTAAGTGTGTATTATATAAGCATGTTATCCACTAGAATTCCCCCCCCCAGATTTTTTTTTACAGGCAATGGTAAACCTACCATCAAACTTTTCTACAGACTTGTTTGCATCATCCAAATTCTGAACCTGAGAAACACGCATGAACTTGATAGTTCTATTAACCTTTTGAGGGCGGGGCTTTGGTAGCAGTAAAAGCCTTGAAAGGACAGGGAATCTTGAACCGAATGCTTTTTCCCCTTAAAGAAATCACCTATTTGCAACAAAGATTCTTGGGCGTAGTTTAATGGATTCTCAGAGGCGTGCATCTATGTCGGAAAAGGAAGGGAAGTGTAGGGATTAGTGACCAGATTTCAAGATGCTTTTCGTCCCTGAGGGAAAATTTCATATTACAGTTGTTCCGGATTGAGACTACTGGGAAAAGTGTAAACCTCCGTTGAAGAAAATGCCGTTCTTTATATTATAGGACGTTACTTTCATTTTTATAAAATTTTGGTTTTAATTTTAAATTACACTGCAAAACTAAGTGTCTTTACTAAGTGCTTACAATAATTGTTTCTATCGTATCTTTATATTAATGTTATGTCAAAAAAAATTTCAACTATTTGATTATTTCCTTGGACAATTTAAAATTTAACCAGTCTTCATCTCAGTCTTTTTTTTTTTTAACTGTTAAATGTCCTTATAATTTTAAATTTGTTTTGGTATATATTATCAAATATAGCTGTATCTTTGAACTTTCTTCCATACAGGGAATAAATAAAATATAAACTGTTAAAATTATGCTCTATAGGCGTAATGAAATTTTAATTTTGCATAATTGTTCAAAATCAGCTTGATAACATACTATTTAAGGACGAAACATTCAGCAAATTAGAATATAACTGGTTTAATCAAAAATAATTTTTTAATCATGTACCGTTTTATACTGTTTATTGAAAATTAGTAAGTGGTATTTTCAAGTATTAATAATAGAAGAATTTAAGTGGTTAAGTTTCAAGTATAAATAGGAATAATTTAAGTGGTAGTTTCATTATATATAGAATGAATTTAAGTGGTATATTTCAAGTATTAATAATTTATAATATATTCAAATTAATTAAATGAATTTAAGTCAAATGAAATTTAATCATAAAATGTCAAATTAGTATGCAAACCCATAATTCAAAACGTAAATTCCAGTCTAAAACTAAATTCCCAGCCTCACTAAGGGAACGTTTTCACTCGGGTATTAAAATTTAGGTAATTTCTTGGTGCAAAGAGGTTTTCAAATTGAAGGGAAAACTGTTTGTTATGCATAGTGTCTGCAAAAACTGTGGGACAAAAGTTACACGATAATTAGTTGTTTTTTTCAGTACTGTATTATCTTATTCTATATTATGCTACATAAGTTAGCACATTAAGAGAAATTTCCAGATAATTTCAGCAAAACTCTCTCCTGTTTGAAATCGTCGTCCAATGTGAATCTTTCTCTATTTCCTCTATTGTTTAAACCAGTTCGTTTCAACTCCAGACTGTCTTTGTAGCAGCTTTGACACCAACCATGGCGGCATATTTTATATGGTGGAATTTTAATTCTACCATTATATTAGCAAGTATCTTTACTTGCAGTTACTCAGAAAATGTTCATTGTCAGGTCATGCGAAATCTATACTGACACGGTTGAATTTACTGTTTTTCTCTTTTTTATTGAAAATGTGGCAGCTATTCATTGGTTTCATTAACACCTTGGTCATTATGCTGTCGTATCGAAACTATTTCATAACTGATGTCCAAGGTATGCCCCCAGGAATTTGTCCTTGAACGTAGTTGCTAAGATATATGTCTAATGAATGACAAAGGCATTCAATCACCTAAAAGGTCAAGTTTCAGAAATTCAGATGAGGAACACGAGTTGTCTTAGAAAAATGATTTGTACATTATTTGAGAGCTTTTACATCCTGTTTGTATTCTCGGAGCTTAACGGACAGTGAAATTTCACAAATTCTACTCTAATCCATTCTGAACATCTTACTTCAAAATTATTTGACTGTGAAATCGAGACACTGATACCGAGGTACCTTTTAAAATAACAGTATATCAGTAGATCTGGAATCTAATGGCTAGAGATGACCTTTCAAACTGATTGACTAGTTTTAGTGTATTTACGATTTCCAGATTTCAGACTGAAATTGTAAAGCTACTGTTGTTTCTTTGACACAAAATTTATATTTATGTTCTTGTGATTTGTCTGAATAACAGTACCATCACAGTAAACTTCCGTGGGTGAAGGTCACGTCAGCATAAACAGAAATATATGGAAATAAAGACAGGCAGAACTGTTAAGAACGAACTGATAAGAATGTAAGAAAAAGTGCTTATACATGTATACAAGTACGTGGGAATTTATGTTTGTTTATGGAAATGTATACCTACATACCCATGTAGTATGTGTGTCTGCACTGATATAATATGGTATAAGTGCAGGTATGCACATAAAGTGGAAAGAATGCGTACCCTTTAAATGGAAATAATGTATACACAGACACGTACATGTACACACGCATTTATATATACGTGTTTGTGTGTGGATTTATGCATACGTGTATAAACATACAGATATATGTATGTGTACATATTTCATCAGCGAGCTCTTGAAGAAGTTTTCGTACTTCTTCTTCAGTCAGACCTTTTTTCCTTTTCGGCATATTGCTAGAAAACTGTCAAAATAATTCTTAAAAAAACTTACGAAAGTATGCAATATTCTAAAACAACGCAAGGCTCTGTTTACAATTTACAAACGCAGTTATCGCGAATTCTGTAGCTATGTAGCTACAAGAACTAAATGGGAAAAACCGAATTCTTCTTAACACAAAAACCTTTGAAAGAGATAAGTGGTTAAAACCCCAGGGACGTCAAATTTGACATTTCACCCCACTCTTTCAGCCTGGAAAATGGGGGGGGGGGAAAGACATGGTCACTAAAGTGGACAACAAAACAAACCGTCCTTTCAAACAGAGGGCTCTATGGTCACTATAATGGCCATCCCGTCTTCAAAAGGCTAATGTAAACCAAAGAACTGATTTTGAAATGGGAATTTGACCATGCTGATGTAAATTTGGAAAATGACAAACTTTAAACATGCAACATGAAAGTTTCGAACTAGAGAATTGCGAGTTATCAGGAGGTATTTTGTTGATTTTGCGTTCGAGAAATATGGCACAAGACTCGGTATAACATTTAAAATGTTCCAAAACTGCAACAGTATCCAAATTTATATGATGAAAAATCAAAGGGGTACTTACATAGTGTCCGCCGATAACATCGCGGACGAAAACGTCGCGGAAAAAACAACGCAAGGCGAAAACGTCGTGCTACAAAACATCGTGGGAGAAAACATCGAAGTCGAAAATAAAGCGGTTCAAAAACTTCGCAGTTTAAAAACATCGTCGTCGAAAATATCGTGGTAAAAAATAAAGTATCTACAAATCATCGCATGACAATAACATCGCAGACATGCTTTTTTTCAGGTTTTAATAATTGTAAATGGATATTCCCATAATGATTTGTGAGCGCAAGATGTAAAGAAGGATAATTTTTACTTTCACATTTTTTTTAAACTAATAAATTTTTGCTGAAAAAGTAAGAAGGAACTTAAGCATAGAAAATTAAATGCAACTCATAGATATACTTTTCGTGAAAAAATTACCAGTAAAAACTTTATAAAATATGTTTATTAATGGCCTTTGTTAGTTACTATGTCGGTTTAAATTCTATTAAGTACTATAAGTTGCATTAATTTTCTATACTTAAATCTTCTTCTTATTTCTCACAAAAATTTATTAGTTATAAAAAATATGAAAGTAAAAGTTATCCTTTTTTCCACTTGCGCTCACAAATCATTGTGGGAATATCCATTTACAGTTATTAAGCCTGAAAAAGCATGTCTACGATGTTATCGTCATGCATGATTTGTGATACTTTATTTTTTACCACGATATTTTCGACGATGATGTTTTTAAACTGCGAAGTTTTTGAACCGCTTTATTTTCGACGACGATGTTTTGTATCACGATGTTTTCTCTTTACGATGTTTTCTCCCACGATGTTTTGTAGCACGACGTTTTCGCCTTGCGTTGTTTTCTCCGCGATGTTTTCGGCTGTA